ATGTGTTTTTTTTTTTTTTATTTTTAAAAGCATGAAATTTCTTTTAATTTTAAAAAATTTAAAAGGTTTTTTTTTTTTCTTTTTTTTTTTTTTTTTTTTTTTTTCTTGTTTCAAGTATATGGTATATTATTTTCATATAGACAATAAGTTTGTTCCAAATTACTTTCAAATGAAAGGTTAATAATATGAAAATTCATTTATGAAAAGTAGCGTACCTCTCCTTTTTTTTACTATAAAATTAAATTCTTTTTTTGATTCTAAAACTGCGATTACGGAATGATAGATAGATGGATGGATATATACACGCATCACATCACAAATTCTCAGCTCAAAATTGCTCAAATAAGTCAATGCCACAATGTCGGCTGAATTTTAATATTTTCTTTCCCTTTTGTATGTATGTTTGTATGTACGTATGAATGTATGAATGTATGAATGTATGAATGTATGAATGTATGTATGTTCGCGGATTTCGATAAATCAACATTGCTTGCTTAAAATTGATAATATATTAGAGAGAGAGAGAGAGAGAGAGAGAGAGAGACACAACCCTACAATTGCCTAAATTTATTTGCACTGGATATTAAAGGGAATATATCTTCGATTATATGTGATTGTCCCATTGTCCCATGATAGACGAATACAAATATACGCCGTTTACCTTCTTTCTTTTAGAATTATTTCAATAATTCTAAAAAAACACAAAGCTTTTTAAAATCGTCCGTCGTTTCCTCTCCGGCAAATCTAAAAAACATTTCAAAAAATGAAGGAAGAAGAAGAAGAAGAAAAAACACAAATTTATTTAATCCATTCTTTAATCGCATATAATATTGAAGGCACAACTTACTTTCTAATGAACAAAAAAAATTCACACGTTTTCGTATCACTTCTTTGCTTAGTTATGCAGAAGACTTGCGTTTAATGGAGTGAAGCTAGATATAATATTGAAGGCGATTGCTGTTAGCTAGCTAAGAGAGAGAGCCTTCCGCACAATAACTAATAACTGGAGCGAGAAATGCAATGAAAGCAGCAATCAATCCAAACGCGATACGTAATTTCAAAAGCAAACTTATAATAATAATAATAATAATAATAGCGCGTGCACTAAACGCTCAAACGAAACGACTTTAGTACGTTCACTTTGCAGACTAAAGTAGTAACGTAAACTCAGTTGGTGCAGTCAGTCAGTTGCAAACAAACCAAAGCTATTACTCTTGTCGTCACTTTGCACGGCAGCTACTTTTTGTTTAGCACGTTTCGTCTTTTCTTTCCTTTTTTTGTTAATCTTGTTATTGTTGTTCTTGTTGTTGTTGTTGGTGTTGTTGCTGTTACTGTTAAAATTTCTTTCTTACTTTTTTATTTAATTCAAACGTACGTACTCACACGCACGTACACATATACATTTATATATATATATATATATATATATATACGTATGTATGATTTTCTTTATTCTCAGTGAACGATTATTGTGTGTTGTATGATTTTGTACGTGTATGCCAGGTTTTTACATAAATACATATGTATATTAGTTACAATCAGCTCGAACTTTGTTGCTTTATCTCTGTATATATCGACAAAGCTCACTGAACAATGGACACAATACTGCACAACTGATAATTATTGTCTTCTTCTTTTATTTTTCTTTTCTGTTTTTGTTGTTGTCGTTGTTGTTATTGTTGTTGTTATAGTTGCTATTATTTTTTTTTTTTTTTCTTTACAACAACAAAAACTGCACCCACCGTCGTCACTCGATCCAATAGTATTATTATTACTATTATTATTGTTATTATTGTTATTGATCGCAAGCGGCACCACTACCATAAATTCAAACAACCATAACAGCTAACAGGCAAGTCAGCCAGTCTGTCATTCAAAACAGCAACAGTAAGTTAAGAGAGTTGAGCTTATGAAAATATTATCTCTACAGCCGTTTCTTTCTTTTTCCTCTTTGTTGTTTTGGTTTTTGTTTATATTTTTGTAATTTTCATTTCTGGATTTACTTTACCTCCCGCAACGTTTATATAGAAAAGAAATATAAACACATATAATGCTTTTTAGAGCTATTGTTTATCTTCCTTTTTAGCAGCGCACGACACAGCCACAGCTACAGCTAGACAAGACAATCGAATCTGCGCTAGACTCTTTAATCACTGGTTACACAGAGCGGCACGCACTTACGTGTGTGTGTGTGTGTGTATGCGTGTGTGTGTCTGTGTGTGTGTGTGTATGCGTGTGCTAACGTATACTATCTCGTTTGTAGTAAATCATAATAACAATAGTATGTTGTGTATCGCCGCCGTAAGGTATTATTCTTAATGTTGTTGTTGTTGTTGTTGTTCTTGTTGTTAATGCATAAACGTTGTGTTTGAACTTTAGGTGTATAATAATTCCAATTTAACGAAAACGGCAACACTATACACAACCATCAATATACATTATGTGCAAACACATTTCCATTTACACGTCCATACACACATAAACATAAGCAGACACGAACAAAACCTTTGTCTGCACAATTCTTTGTTCCCAACAGACTGCTCTGTTGCGCGTAGTTTCTCAGTTGATTAAATATTAAATTTTCTGAAAAACAAAAACAATTTAAATAAATAAACCGAGAAGACAAAGGAGATTACAAAAACAACAACAACAACAAAAAAACAAGAGTGATAACAATTGAATGCCAAACCCAATAATGAAACGCAACATTTAAGAGCAAAAAAAAAAAAGAAAAAAAAACAAACAAACCATACGCGACACACGTATACATATAAGCACACACACACGCACACACACACACATATATATATATATATATATATAAATGTTCATATGTAAATATAAATTTATTAGGTACAATTTTACATGTCGACACACGTATATATTGCACAAGCATGTATATATACAGTACTGTTTGTTTAATTACCAATAACTGTACACACTTCTTATCTAAGGCTAGCTGGCTAGCTATGCACTAAAAAATAATGAAATAGAAAAATTTTTTTTTCTTTTTAAAAAACCTTTATTTAAAATAAATGAAATGAAATGAAAAGAAAAGAAAAGAAAAAAAAAATCATTTATTACGAAGAAATCGTAAAAGGTAAACACAACTACTTCCTTATGAATAATTGAAGAGTATTTTAAGAGTAAGTTAATCGTTTAAATAAAAATTACTGTACACTTGTATTTGCGTATACGCTGTGATTTATATATACAAGGCACATGTAACATCTGTTTTTGAGAAAAAAAGAAAAACAAAAAAACACAAATTATTAAGTAAATAAATAAATAAATAAATGAAAAAGTGTCTCATCTTAAACGTAGTATAGTGCGTATGCGAATTGAAGAAGAAGAATAAACCAGCTGTTATCAATTATATTAAATTATTATCAAGCATTATCGGTACGGTACCGTTGCTTATCAAAGTGTTGGGCATATATTTATACGAAAAGTGTGTTGTTCAGAGAATTGGTTTACTTTCAGACTTTTGAAAATATTATAATAAATATAACTTGTAAAACCTGATCAATGCAATGAAGCGTAATGGGGAAGGCCGAGCGAGAACAAGTTGCAAACCATCATTATTTATTTATTTATTTATTTATTTATCTTCTTTTTTTTTTTTTTTTTTCTTTAATCTATACTCGTCTATTACATATAAAAAAAAAGAGATAGAGGGTGGGAAACAGACACCATCTCATCTCAACTTTTTTGAAGTCGTATTATAACTGCAACACAATAATGATAATTGTCTTATTCAATAAGTTCGTAGGATCAAATGTAGGCTAAAACAGTAAAATTGGAATTTATTCATTAACATGTTGGTTCTCTAGCATTACTACAACTTTCTTATAGAATGATTTGTTCAAACCTTCACAATACTTATCAGATTTGACGTTCACCTCTTCTCGTAGGCTATGCCATATCATTTTGCGACAAGCGTTGCCAATAGGTAATAATCCTTAGGAGTTGCATCTAAAGAATACGGTGGATGTGAAAGCAATGCGAAGTGTATTTCCGGCAATTTTACAATTAACCATTGTAGTAGTGCTCGACTGGTGGCACTTTTTCCCTTCCTTACAATTCCTTTCTTCCTTTTCGAGATGATCAATGCATAATATACCAAAACACAACGCAAAATATCGCCGCTATAACCTTTGCAAACGATTATTGCGTTATTTCGTTGATTAAAGTCCACTCGATCAAGTATAGACTTGATTTTGGCGTGGTTGTTGTAATGAGCTCATGTTTCATCCATTGCCACATATCGAATGAGAAAATCCTTTTCATTTCGACTCACTTCAAAAATAGCTCTCTCTCTCTCAATCAAAAATATTCACTACCATTTACAAAAATCTTGAAGGTATCATCTTAAGGTGGCAACATCTTTTATTGGTGTTCGAACGGATTTAAAATCAGCAAACTACTTCTATACTACTTCTCGCGATAAAGTAGAGTCCAAATAACACTTGTCAAGCCTCTGCTTTACTTGAAGAGATTTTTGCTATTGTTTTGAAAAATAACAAAAGTACCTTCACTAAAATGATTGTAACCGATGAACTAAGAGCCGGTGTGCGCTATGAGATTTTTCAACGCATTTTATTTAAAGAGCGCGACTATCTTTTAAACGATATATGGATTTGTCAATAAATGGCCGCCTTCTATGCATATGTCATCCTACGACCTGTTTTTGCAATTTTCACATTTACATTTGGTGGGCAAAAATCCCGTTCCTGAGGGAGTATTGTGGCAGTTGCGTTTCAAAAATGTCGACTCACCGGATAATATGAAAAAATAATGCAAAGATATTTCAATATTTAACTGTTTCATCACATAATCTCTAAAAAATAAATGAAATATTTGTGCATTAAAGTGATTTGCAATGAATTGTTTGTTGTTATTGCTTTACTATTGCACAACATTTTGCCTACACTATCATCTACCTAGTTGTGTGCGATACACTATAATTTATTTATTCAGTTGATAAAATAAATTTCTTTTCTGAAATATATGCACGCATATATATTATAAGCTTCATCTTACCATCGTTATTATCAATGTTTGCAACATCTGTACATAGCAAGTGAAAAGAAACTGAAATGTATTACTTTTTAAAAAACGAATGTTGAAAATAGAAGAAAACATTAAAATTTTTATTTATTAATTTTTTTTTATTATCGAAAAAAAAGTACGGCATACACACAAACAGCAACAGCAACATGCGGTAATATGCTCTCCTCAATAACTTGGACATAATTTACTTATTGAGAGAACCTTAACTATAAAAGTTGCAGTAAAGATGATTAAGGAAAAACTATACAAAAATCTCGTGTAATAAAAAAAAAAAAACAAAGTAAGAAGATTATATTCGATTGCGACCGCATCTTTTGTACCCATCACCGTCTCTCCTAAAGAGAACTAAGAAAAAGAAAAGAACTATATTTTCTTCAATACTTTGCAGTATTGGATGGGCGCGGGGGTGATTTTTTCTATATTCAAAATAAAAGTAGAAATTTTTATGGTGTATGCGGCATTGTATTTTATGAGTAAGAAATAAAAAAAAGCACGGAAGGCAAAGATATTCACAGTGTGGGCGCATGCGCGCCATTTTTAAATTTGTGAGCGATATATTTATTTTTGCGAAAGCGAGAACGAGAGTTATTTATTTGAACAGATTTCGAATTTGAAGCTGGCCAAGAACTCGACGAAACGCAACAATAGCATCCATTATCTACTAATTGACACATCACTTACTCTTGTAACTAATTCCTTTCTCTACAGTACATTTTTCCGGATCCAGATAGTTCTATCTGCTATGAGATAAATTAAATTCCATGTTGCTAAAGAAGAAAACCAAAAATATAATAGGACTTTTCACAGGACGGAAAGTAAATAGGGCTTAATAGATGATCTCTTAGCCCTTCTATACTACCATTGGCACAATCTAAAATAAATGGCTTTTGAAACTTCTTGGTACGCGTCATAAAAATATTGAAAACAAAAATTTAATTTACACTTATGGTAGGCGTGGTGAATTTTACCCATTTTTGTACAAGTACTACAACATCGTCCACAGAATGCCCACTGTAGTTTATGGGTAATGAGCAACAAAACCATTCTCCAATTTGTTTTAATAAGCAGAGATGACTTTACGTTACGTAGTATTGTAGGAGTGTCCTTTAATAGATTACGCCTGTTTTCAATACGAATGTGCGCGCAAGAACTTCCTTAAAGTGAATAGCTTCATTTTTTGCGGTCAGGAGAATGCTTACCATAGGCGTTGCACTGCATAGAAGGATAGACGGACGTG